GGAGTAACAGGCAAATTTGGCCTTGGATACAGAATGAAGCAGGGCAAAGGCTAACAGAGTTAGCCAAGAGAATGCACTGGTCATAGCACACACCCTCTTCCAACAACACAAGAGACTATGCTACACGTGGACATGATCAGAAGGTGAATAACTAAACTAGACTGATTATATTCTTTGCAGCCGAAAATGAAGACACGCTATACAGTCAGCAAAAACAGGACCAGGAGTTGACTGTGGCCCACATCATGAATTCCTTATTGCAAACTTCAGACTTAAGTAGGGAAAACCACTAGACCATTCAGGTATGATCTAAATCAAATCCCTTATGGTTATACAGTGGAAGTGATAAATAGATTCAAGGGATTAGATCTGATAGAGTGCCTTAAGAACTATGGACGAAGGCAGTGATCAAGACAATCCCCAATATAAAGAAATGCAAAAAGGCAAAATGGTTGTCTGAGAAGGCCTTACAAATAAATAGCTGAGAAAAGAAGAGAAGCTAAAGGCAAGGAGAAAAGGAAAGACATACCCATCTGAATGCAGAGTTCCAAAGAATAGCCAGGAGAGATAAGAAAGCTTTCCTCAGTGATCAACACAAAGAAATAGAGGAAAACAACAGAATGGTAAAGACTAGAGATCTCTTCAAGAAAATCAGAGATACCAAGGGAACATTCCATGCAAAGATGGATTCGATAAAAGACAGAAATGGTACGGACCTAACAGAAGCAGAAGATATTAAGAAGAGGTGGCAAGAATACACAGAAGAACTGTACAAAAAAGATCTTCACGACCCAGATAATCAGATGGTGTGATCACTCTCCTAGAGCCAGACATCCTGGAATGTGAAGTCAAGTGGGCCTCAGGAAGCATCACTATAAACAAAGCTAGTGGAGGTGATGGAATTCCAGTTGAGCTATTTCAAATCCTAAAAGACAACTCTGTGAAACTGCTGCACTCAATATGCCAGCAAATTAGGAAAACTCAGCAGTGGCCACAGGACTGGAAAAGTCAGTTTTCACTCCAATCCCAAAGAAAGGCAATGCTAAAGAATGTTCAAACTACCGCACAACTGCACTCATCTTACACATTAGCAACGTAATGCTCAAAATTCTCCAAGCCAGGCTTCAACAGTAGGTGAGCCATGAACTTTCAGATGTTCAACCTGGGTTTAGAAAAGGCAGAGGAACCAGAGATCAAATTGCCAACATCCGTTGGATCATTGAAAAAGCAAGAGAATTCCAGAAAACATCTACTTCTACTTCTTTACCTACACTAAAGCCTTTGACTGTGTGAATCACAACAAACTGTGGAAAATTCTTAAAGAGATGAGAATACCAGACCACCTTCCCTGCCTCCTAAGAAATCTGTATGCTGGTCAAGAAACAACAGTTAGAATCAGACATGCAACAACAGACTGGTTCCAAACTGGGAAGAAGTATGTCAAGGCTGTATATTGTCACCCCACTTATTTAACTTATATGCAGAGTACATCATGCAAAATGCTGGGCTGGATGAAGCACAAGCTGGAATCAAGATTGCAGGGAGAAATATCAATAACCTCAGATATGCAGATGACACCACTCCTATGGCAGAAAGCAAAGAGGAACTAAACAGCCTCTTTTTGAAAGTGAAAGAGGAGAGTGAAAAAGCTGGCTTAAAACTCAACACTCAAAAACTAATATCATGGCATCCAGTCCCATCACTTTATGGAAAACAGATGGAGAAACAATGGAAACAGTGACAGACTTTATTTTGGGGGGCTCCAAAATCACTGCAAATGGTGACTGCAATCATGAAATTAAAAGACACTTGCTCCTTGGAAGAAAAGCTGTGACCTACCTAGACAGCATATTAAAAAGCAGAGACATTACTTAACCAACAAAAGTCCGTCTAGGCAAAGCTATGGTTTTTCCAGTAGTCATGTATGGATTTGAGATTTGGACCATAAAGAAAGCTGCGCACCAAAGAACTGATGCTTCTGAACTGTGGTGTTGGAAAAGACTCTTGAGAGTCCCTTGGACTGCCAGGAGATCCAACCAGTCAATCCTAAAGGAAATCAATCCTGAATATTCATTTAAGGACTGACACTGAAGCTGAAACTCCAGTACTTTGGCCACCTGATGTGAAGAGTGGACTAACTGGAAAACACCCTGATGCTGGGAAAGACTGAAGACAGAAGGAGGAGGAGACAGCAGAGGATGACATCATTGTACGGCATCACCGACTGAATGAACATGAGCTTGAGCAAGCTCTGGGAGTTGGTGATGGACAGGGAAGCTTGATGTGCTGCAGTCCATGGGGTCCCAAAGAGTCGGACATGACTGAGTGACTTAAATCAACTTAAGGTACAATTTCATGCAATATTTAAACATAGTCACTATAATGGAGTAGCTCCTGGAACTTTTATGTTTAAATCAGCAAAACCTAGCATTTTCTATGCTACTGGCCACTAAGGGAAAAAAAATAAATTACTGTAGTCTGCCAGAATGGCTGCTATTGGGAGTTATATTTTAAAATACTGGCTTTTTGTGGGAATTACAATGAAGATTAAGGGCTTTAAAAAAATGTGCTAAAAAAAATAATATAAACTGGAATAACAGACCAGTCTATACAGACCATCTACACCTCCTGAAGATCACAATTTCAGAAACATAAATTACTCAGCACTAAACACTTCTCAAACCTACTGTTTTAGATGAGGCTGACAGAATAGATAATAATAGTTGAAGTGTTTTAGCATCTACTTCTTTTGCGGTCCTACAAGTAATTAAGTGAATAGACTGAGTACTAAAAAAAAAAAGGTTTTGTCAGTGACAATAACAGAGAAGCCCAAGAGTCATAGGAAACTCGAGATGTCAGAACTGGAATGAGTTGGTCAAAGCAGCTCTATGGTCAGAAATTCTCCTTCCAGTACTCTTCTCTACATATACATTTGAGATTCTGTATATTAACATAATAAATCTCTACTTAAATATAAGATCTAACACATGCCAACCATAGCCTAGGACATCCTCCTGTCTTCCTCACAAGTCTTGTGAGTTCAAAACTCATCAGGAATCACCCCCAAACTCGTAGGAAGATAGTCTTATTAGCCTCACCTATTACTTCTGCCTTTATGAATCCCTGCCATTCAAAAGCATCAGTTTGGACTAAGAAACATGTAAAGAGAAAATTTGTAACATAAACTGGCAAATGTCACAAAATAACATTACTGAGAATTTATAATAAAGACAAGAAAAATGCTAAGCTGGGGTAGAGACCCTGGTTAGAGAATTTTGATTGGCAGGAACACTGTCATCCAAGGTCAATTTTACCAGATTTTACTAAGAAACTACAATGTTTCCCACCATTCCAGATATACAGAAACATAAGATGGTGTTTAACCACATTTAAGAATCTTAGTTAAGAGTCCAAAGAGCAATTTAGTGTGTGTTTGGAACCAAAATAAGGAAACTAGTCTTTCTGACACGGGTGGGATCATCATGCTGGATAGCATACGAAAAGAATGTAAATGAATCCACTCAACTAGTTTGAAGAACTAAGGCTCACTAAGAATGGGGGACAACTCAAATAGAAGAGTGATACAAGATTATTCAAGACAACACTGTGAGGTGAAGAATCTGAATGTATAAAGTTAGAAGAAAAAAGTAAAACTGAAAAAAAAAAGACTTTTTAAAGCTACAGTTTGTTATGGTAACAATGTTTTATGCAAAAGCTGCAACAACACGAAGAGTTAAAAGCACCACAGTTGGAACCAGACCCCTGTCCCCAGCATTCAACTCTATCACTTTCCAGTTACGTCAATTTTTTTTTTTAAGTTACTTAACAATTCTCTGCTTTAATCTGTACACCTCTAAAATGAGATATCTGTGGAGCCAGGAGCAGCGTCTTCAAAACACAGGTGTTACAGTACTCTAAACAAAAATTTTATTCATAAAATCAAATCCACCCTTTAGACATTCGTAGACTGCACAATCTGGCCACAAACTTTTAAAGTCTTACTCTTCATTGGATACCCTTCTACTTCCAGGAACCATAGGGATTTAATGTCAGTACTGTAAGCCAATAAGCTCTTTCCTACCTCCTTGCCTTATCTCCAGCGGTTCTGTATCCAGAAAGCCTTTTCCTCACCAGCCTTCCAAGTCCACTTCTCTAGGAAATTAACTTTCCTTCCTCTCCAATTCCATACCACATTTGCCTGCACCTCTGTACAGTTGACCACAATTACCCCCGTTTGTGTGTTTGCTGTTTTAATGCCTTCTTCTCTTAGCGCTAAGACAGCGAGCAGGGGCAAGTCTTTTTCCAACCTCCTTGCCACCTTTCATTCCAGACTGTGCCTATGCAGGCCTGGAAAAGCGTTAGGAAATTAAGCTATATGTTTATAACCCTCATGGCCGAAGTTCCAGGAACTGCTTACTTTTGTATATTTTGTTTGTTTGTTTTCATCCTAAAATATTGACATGAAGCGTCCTTAAAAATCTGAACACCGTCATCCTTTCAAGAAAAGTTCTAGAGAGCATCCACCCGAGTCTCCAGTACGGGCATTCACTGCCTCAGAAGTTGTGTGCGCCGCAGAGGATGGCTTCCCCCGCTCCGTGCTGTACTTGGGAATGAGAGGGCGCGGGCTCGGACCCGGCGCTCGCCCTGCTCGGCGGCGCTCGGTTTCCCCAGCCCTCGCCTCCCCTCGTCCCGCCGCGGCGGCGCCGTGGGAGCCCCCGGGCCTGTACCGCCTCCCGCCCCGCGGCCCCGGCCTCCCTGCAGCCCGCCGCCCGCCTCCCGGGGCCCAGGCCGCGCCGCTGCCTCGCAGGGAGCCGGGGGACTCGCTCGATTCCGCGCGGCGCCGGGGGCGGAGCCGGCCGGGGGGCCCCGGGAGAGGCCGGGGAGGGCGGCGGCCTCCGCCTACCCCGACACGCACCGGGCGCCCCCGGCCCCAGCCCTGGCCCCAGCCGCGGCCTCCTCGGGCCCGGCCCTCACCCGCGACTGGGAGACCCGCCACTTACCAACCCGCCCGGGACAGCGCCACTCCGGGAGCCTCGGTCATGGTAGCTCCTTAGGCCGGGGTACTGGGGGGCTCGGCTAGGGGGCTGGGGGAGGCCTGCCACTTGAGACCCCCAAAAAAAAGAAAGAAAAAGAAAAAAGAAAAGAAAAAAACTCCTCCGGTCGGCTCTGCGACTGGGCATGCTCAGTGCGGCGGGCGCTTCCGCGTGCGGGTTCCGCTCGCCGCGTTTTCCGAGCGGCCGCGGGGGCCGGCCCGGCGTGCGGCTGCGAGACAGTCGCTCTCCGGGGGCGGCGGTGCGCGGAGGACGGGCCGGGGCCGGCCGCTGGAGGCCGGTCTGTCAGCGCGGACTCGCAGCTGAGGCTGAGGGCCGGTCTGTCAGCGCGGCCTCGCGGCTGAGGCTGAGGGCCGGTCTGTCAGCGCGGCCTCGCCGGTCCGGGCCGCTCTGTCAGCGCGGCCTCGCGGCTGAAGCTGAGGGCCGGTCTGTCAGCGCAGCCTAGCGGTGGAGGCTGAGGGCCGGCTGCGCGTCGCCGGGGTCACTTTCCCGAGCCTCACGCCGTGGAGACCCGTGGGGCGGTCCTCTGTGCGGCAGAAAGGAAGCCTGCGTTCCCAACGCGCACAAGCGGCCGCCTTCCGAGGGCAGAGCTGAGGCGCTCGGCGGCGGGAAGGTGCTGCCAGCTAGGCTCTGAGGCGACCGCGTTTCCGACAGCGAAGCTCAAATGGACGGTGTTCCCAGCCCACTCAACACGGGAGAAAAGCTGCTTTCTTGTAACGATTCCTTCCCCTTTTAAACCTGCCCGGGTGCAGAAAAAAGAATATAATCGAATCTTTCCGACTCCCCAGAGTCAAATCGGACTGTCAGGTCCCACGCTACAATGAAAGTGAATGAGTCCACCCAAGAAGACCTGCACCTAAGGGATGTAGGAACTCGGGGAGCTGTGTGGTGCTTGTCTCTCACGCAGTCTTCCCACCGGCCCGTGCAGGCCCCGGCGCGGCCCTCTGACGTTAGCGCGGGTGCTGCCAGGCCTAGTTCCCGCCCACACCATGTAGGTGCCCTGCTCCACCTCTCGGGGCTGAAGCAGAGGGGCTGGTCAGCAATGCGCATGCGCCGCGGCGGCGCCGAGCGGCGCGGGAGACGCTCCAATGGGATTGGGCGGCCGAGACTCACACCAGCCAATCGAAGGAGCAGTCGGAAGGGGACGTGAGACCGGGGGACACTCCCTCAGAGTTGTCCCTACCCTCCACCGTCATCCTTTCCTGCGGCCGCTGAGGAGAAAGGTTCTTCAGAGTGGCGCTGGTCCAAGCTGCGAAGTCCGGCAGGAAGACTCTTAAAACCTTCAGCCCTATAACCGGAGGTACCTCATCTGCTTCATCATAACCAACACGGACTTAGAGCAGAGTCTGTGAAACTGCGCAGGGCCGCACCTGAGACTGAGGAGGAAACCGACTCTCACAGAAAGAGGGGGATAATTACAGAGTGAAGCTAAAATTCCTTAATTTTGTTTTCATTTTAACTGGCATATTTCGTTTGGGCTTCCCAAAAGTCATAGTTTTAAAATCACGATTTGTTGCTTAACTGGGGTGCTGTTGAAATGTGTGCTCAAGGACATTGCTTAGTTACTGATTTTAATGAAACATATTTTGAAGCACTTTTAGAATTGTATACAATGTTTAAGTGATACGTATTGTATGTTTATTTTTATTTATAGGTACCATTCAAAATAACCCTTATGGCGTCCCTTGTGTCTCAAGCTGGTAAAGAGTCCGACTGCAATGCCGGAGACCTGGGTTTGATCCCTGGGTTGGGAAGAAACCCTGGAGAAGGGAAAGGCTACCCACTCCAGTATTCTGGCCTGGCGAATTCCACGGACTGTATAGTCCATGGGGTCGCAAAGAGTGGGACAGAACTGAGCGACTTTCACTTTCACGTAGATGAATCAAAATTAAATGGCTGATAATTTTTGTTGGTTGTGAAACAGAATTTTCTCTTGTTCAGTCGCTGAGTCCTGTCCTTAACTCTTTGCAGCCCTGTGGACTGCAGCACATTAGGCTTCCCTGTCCTTCACTGTCTCGGGGAGTTTGCTCAAATTAATGTCCTGTTGAGTTTGTGAAGCTGTCTAATGATCTCATGCTCTGCTGCCCTCTTTTGCCCTATTTTGCCCTCAGTCTTTCACAGCATCAAAGTCTTTTCCACTGAGTCTGCTCTTCCATCAAGTAGTCAAAGTGTGAAAGTAATATGTTGTCCCAATCAGAATTCTTGACTGGCTAAATATAAGGCCTTACACATATGGTTTCATATACAGTGTATACAATAAGAATTTACCATTGTGTGGTACTTAACGATAACTTTATTAAAATTCTCCGTGAAACATTAAATTATCTTATGGTAAGAAATGCTTAAAGAATGGATTGAAGATTCCCACTGGAGGAATTTGGGATAATATAAGCCTCAAAGAGAGTAATTGGAATAATTGAATTTAAAAATTGGGTAAAGAAAATGCATGAATTTAAAAGTGCCAGTAGAAATAAATAAAGGGATGGATGAAAACTTTTCTTTCATAGAAATGCCAGAGAATAAATGTACAACAAATAATAGAAAATCACCATTTTGCAAATCAGTCACAATTGATTCAGACTAGAGAATGCCAAAAGTCACTGGGTGAAAATGTTCACTTGGTATCAAGGTATCAAGATGTTAAAGTATTAAAAGTCTGTTTTGCCCTTACTTATTATAAAAGGGAACAACATACCTTTATCTTAAAAAAAAAAAAGGGACTGCCTTAAATAAGTGATCAAGGCTAATCAATAATGGGACGATCGGATGTTATGTGCTTACTGATACAATAAGAAATAAGTATCATATGACAAATATTCTTGACAAAGTTGTTTCCCCTGAATTTGAGTGAACTTCTAGTTCCCTACCCTAACCTCCACCCCCCGCCCCTGGGCACTTTTGGGCATGTGTGGAGACGTTTTGGTTATAACCTGGTGGGAACGGGGAAATATTAAACATCCTGCAACACACAAGATAGCTACCTGTCCAAGATGTCAGTAGTGCCAAGCCTGAGATACATAGGGAATTTAACAGGTAAAACAAGGAAACAGGCAGATAAATCTGGAATCTGGCATTTTCTAAAAAAAAAACCTGGCATGGATTGCACAAAGGTAATTTAACTTTTACATTTGTAAAAATGTAATTTTTTTGAAAAAGAATTCTTCCAGGTTAAAAGGAATAAAAAGACATGACAACAACATACAATCATGGATTCAGAAAGAATAGGGGAAGGAACAGAAGGAAAGATTTTGTGGCCAAATGCACCAATTTCAATATGGACTAGATATTGGATAGTATAATGGAATTATAGGTTTCTTAGATGTGATAATAGTCCTTAATATTACAAATTTTATGTGAAATATCTATGGCTGAAGAGCTGTGGTGTTTATAACTATGTATGTGTGTGCCTAAGAAAGAAGGTGACTGTGGCAAAATGTTTGACAGGGAATCTAATTGGAGGGTCCAGTGTTCATTATATATTTTTAAAAATTTTGTCTAAGTTTAAAACCTTTCAAAATAAAAATTGAAGGGAAAAGCATGGAATATACTAATTTCTTTCACATAAAGAATTAGGATTATGCTCTGTATAGATAAGTTAATGCCATGTGATATGGTAGGAGCTGACTAGACAAAAAATGAGATTTCCATTTTTAATAAGATGAATCATTGATTTACAGAAAATATAAAGTCTACAATGAGCTGAAAGCTGGACAAGAGCATAAAGAAGACAGAAGAGCTGTGTTAGGTATCAGTTCAGTTCTGTCCCTCAGTCAAGTCCAACTCTTTGCGACCCGATGAACCACAGCATGCCAGGCCTCCCTGTCCATCACCAACTCCCAGAGTCCACCCAAACCCATGTCCATTGAGTCAGTGATGGCCATCCAACCATCTCATCCTCTGTCGTCCCCTTCTCCTCCTGACCTCAATCTTTCCCAGCAGTCTTTCCCTTTCAAATGAGTCAACTTTTCCCATCAGGTGGCCTAAGTATTGAAGTTTCAGCTTCAACATCAGTCATTCCAATGAACACCCAGGACTGATCTCCTTTAGGATGGACTGGTTGGATCTCCTTGCAGTCCAAGGGACTCTCAAGAGTCTTCAACACCAGTTCAAAAGCATCTGTTCTTCGGTGTCCAGCTTTCTTTATAGTCCAACGCTCACATCCATACATGACCACTGAAAAGACCATAGCCTTGACTAGACGGACCTTTGTTAACAAGGTCCGTCAACTTTTTTAACTGCTTTTTAATATGCTGTCTAGGTTGGTCATAACTTCCCTTCCAAGGAGTAAGTGTCTTTTAATGTAATGGCTGCAGTCACCATCTGCAGTGATTTTGGAGCCCAGAAAAATAAAGTCAGCCACTGTTTCCTCTGTTTTCTCATCTTTTTGCTTTGAAGTGATGGGACCAGATGCCATGATCTTAGTTTTCTGAATGCTGAGTTTTAAGCCAACGTTTTCACTCTTCTCTTTCACTTTCCTCAAGAGGTTCTTTAGTTCTTCACTTTCTGCCAGAAGGGTGGTGTCATCTGCATATCTGAGGTTATTGATATTTCTCCCGGCAATCTTGATGCCAGCTTGTGCTTCTTCCAGCCCAGCATTTCTCATGATGTACTCTGTATATAAGTTAAATAAGCAGGGTGACAAAATACAGCCTTGACGTACTCCTTTTCCTATTTGGAACCAGTCTGTTGTTCTGTGTCCAGTTCTAACTGTTGCTCCCTGACCTGCATACAGGTTTCTCAAGAAGCAGGTCAGATGGTCTGGTATTCCCATCTCTTTCAGAATTTTCCACAATTTGTTGTGATCCACAGAGTCAAAGGCTTAGGCATAGTCAATAAAGCAGAAATAGATGTTTCTCTGGAACTCTCTTGCTTTTTCAATGATCCAGCAGATGTTGGCAATTTGATCTCTGGTTCCTCTGCTTTTTCTAAAACCAGCTTGTACATCTGGAATTTCACGGTTCACATATTGCTGAATCCCGGCTTGGAGAATTTTGAGCATTACTTAACTAGCGTGTGAAATGAGTGCAGTTTTGTGGTAGTTGGAGCATTCTTTGGCGTTGCCTTTCTTTGGGGTTGGAATAAAAACTGACCTTTTCCAGTCCTGTGGCTACTGTTGAGTTTTCCAAATTTGCTGACATATTGAGTGCAGCCCTTTCACAGCATCATCTTTTAGGATCTGAAATACCTCAACTGGAATTCTATCACCTCCACCAGCTTTGTTCATAGTGATGCTTCCTAAGGCCCACTAGACTTCGCATTCCAGGATGTTTGGCTCTAGGTGAGTGATCACACCATCATGATTATCTGGGTCATGAAGATCTTTTTTGTACAGTTCTTCTGTGTATTCTTGCCACCTCTTCTTAATTTCTTCTGCTTCTGTTAGGTCCCTACTATTTTTGTCCTTTATCGAGCCCATCTCTGCATGAAATTTTCCCTTGTTATCTC